GGAGCATGTGGAGCAAGGCAAGGAGGTGGGAGGAGGAGGAGGAGGAGGAGGAGGAGCAGGAGGAGGAGGCCGAGGAGGACGAGGAGGACGAACAGGAGGAGGAGGAGGAGGAGGAGGAAGAAGAAGAGGAGGAGGAGGAGGAGGAGGGAGAGGAGAAGGAAAAGGAAGAGGAGGACAAGGAGGAGGAGGAGGAGGACAGGAGGACGACGACGACGGAGGCCCCAGACATCCGGCTGCTCCGGTTTTTTCGATGCGTGGGTCCTGGGACCACTTCCCTGGGGCCGGCTCTGCGTCTCGAGTCGTCTCGTTGACAGCTCCGAAGCCCGGCGAGGGCCCCAAGAGGCCGAAAACACTCAAAACCGCCAATTCCAACTTTTCTAGAGCGCCGGATCTCTGGGGGCACTTTAGGCCAGGGGCACTTCGGGCGCGAAAGAGAAATGACGGCCCTGGAGCTCGGGGGTTGCTTCAGGTGCCCAGGGCCCACAGTGCCCCCGAGTGTTCTGGAACGTCGGATCTGTGGGGCGGCGGCGACGACGACGGCGGCGACCACGACCACGACGACGACCACGACCACGACGACGACGACGACGACGACGACCACGACCACGACGACGACGACGACGACGACGACGACGACCACGACCACGACCACGACCACGACCACGACGACGACGACGACCACGACCACGACCACGACCACGACCACGACGACGACGACGACGACGACCACGACCACGACCACGACCACGACCACGACGACGACGACGACGACGACGACGGCGACGGCGGCGACGACGACGACGACGACGGCGGCGGCGGCGGTGGCGGCGGCGGCAACGGCAGCGGCGGCGGCGGCGGGCGCCTCCACTGGCCCGCTGCCCTCGGCCCGCGCGCGCTCGTCGGGGGGCGCCTGCGGAAAAGGGAGGGCGGCTGGCGCCCGCGGGGAGGGGATGACGTTGGAGAGACGTCCGAACGTGTTCCTTCAGGTTGTTACGCTTGTCCTCGCAGTACATGTGGCGATTGTTGACCGATATCAAGAGGGCATTCATATTGCAGGTCATCTGCAGTATTGTGAACGCCTCGTCGCTGTCCACTGGTATGGTGCCAAGCGTAGCGCTGCGTAACATGAAACAACTCATCCCCTCACGATTGGCCTTAAGCGCCGTGCTAGCGTATCTGGAGTCTCCGTTCGTGCAACCAGCATTACACCGTTTCGCGAATCGGTTCGTGCTCAGTGTACCACGCCTCTCGGACCTCGGATAAAACTCGTCGAACCCTGGATATGTTGTATCAGGGTTTGGTGGAGCCATCGCGGCAGCCGCCGCGGCCTTTGCAGAGAGGCGAATGCTTCGCTGACTTGACCACGTGCACTGGAGCCCGTGGGGCGAACAACGGGCTCCTGTTCCATGCAAATATAGCAGGAGCATGTTTCCCATGAAGGCGACTGCAACTAGAGCCAGTCGCCAGCGGCGTGGTATGTTATTCCACAGGAGCCTGGGAGTAACATCGCAGATCAGCTGCACGAATGATGCGGTCGCATTAGCCTAGCCAGCTCACCCAGTCGGAACGCTACAGTCTAACAGTGAGTCCTCCTCTTCCTTTTCTTCCTCCTCCTCCTCCTCCTCCTCCTCCTCCTCCTTCTCCTCCTCCTCCTCCCCCTCCCCTCTCAGCCCCCTCCCTCCCTCTCTCCCTTCCAAGAGGGAGCCCGCGAGGAGACGGCGCCGCCTCGCCGTCGCCCTTGGCCTCCTCGTGCCCCGCCGCGGCGGCGGGCGCGGCGGCCTGGGCGGCCCCACCCGCGGCGTCCCCGGGCTCCTCCTTGATCACCACCAGGGGCTGCTTGCCCCTCGCCAGCGGGCCCGAGGGCAGAAGGACGGGGAGTCGTCGTCGTCGTCGCCGCCGCCGCCGCCGTCACCGCCGTCGTCGTCGTCGTCGTCGTCGTCGGCGTCGTCGTCGTCGGCGTCGGCGTCGGCGTCGGCGTCGTCGGCGTCGGCGTCGTCGTGGTCGTGGTCGTGCGGCGCACGTACCCGGACCTCCGACGACATGAGGTGGGTCAATCCGAGCGCTTGTCCTCGACCTCGGCCCTCTGGTGGCCCGAATTCTCACTGCACCGACCTTGCAGACGTGCCGCAGCGGATTTTCCCGTGGATTTCTCCCAATGCGAAACCCCGGAACGGCGAGTGAAAAACGAAGTGATTTTCGCGTGGATTTTGTCTGGTCTTCGTTCTGGCCCAACAAAAATCCGCACGAATTTCACCTCGAAGTCCGGAACGAAATTCTCCAGGACACTCCGGGCCCATCCTTCCGTTTTCCGAACGAAATCCGCTCTGCGATGTTGGCGTCATGAGAGTTCGGGCCCCAGGGCCATCAGAAGCGGCGCTTGGGCAGAAAGCGCAGAAAGCTGCCCCCAGGCAGGTGTCCGCACGCACCGTGAGTCCCCTTTCCTCTTGGGAGATGGCAAGAGGGAAGGGGCGGTTCAGGTGCGTGCGCTGGCCGTGGAGGCTGAGGTTTCGGAGCGGGTTGGGTCGTGTGTCGGAGACGGAGGCTGCTCAGTACTGGGTGTTGTGTTGCAGACGGAGGGAGTGGAGTAGAAGGTCATTTTCAAGTTCAGGCTGGGGAGGGGTCCTGTTGAGTGCTAGGTGTTGTGATGGAGACGAAGGCTGTTCAGTACTGGGTGCTGTGTTGTAGACGGAGGGAGTGGAGTAGAAGGTTATTTTCAAGTTCAGCTTGGGGAAGAAAGCTGTTGCGTGTTGGGTGTTGCGTTGGAGACGGAGAGGCTGCTGTGTACTGGGTGTTGTGTAGTAGACGGAGGGAATGGGGTAGAAGGTTGAACTTAAACTTCAGCTTGGGGAGGGGGCCTGTTGAATAGTGGGTGATGTGTTGGAGATGGAGGCTGGTAAGTACTGGGTGTTGTGCTGCAGACGTTGGGAGTGGAGCAGAAGGATATTTTCAAGTTAAGCTGGGGGGGGTGTTGAGCACTGGGTGGTGTGTTGGAGACGGAGGCTGTTGAGTACTGGGTGTTGTGTTGTAGACGGTGGGAGTGGAGTGGAGTGAAAGGTTATTCTCAACATCTGATGGGGGAGGGAGCCTGTGGAGTAATGGATGTCGGATACGTTGGCTGGTTAGTGATCGTCGTTGTGTTGTAGACGCAGGAGGTTGAATATATGGAATGTTGCAAACTCAGCTTGGGGAGGGGGCCGGTTGCGTGTTGGGTGTTGCGTTGGACACGAAGGCTGGTTAGTACTGGGTGTCGTGTTGTAGACGGAGGGAGTTGAGCAGACGGATGTTTTCAAGTTCAGCTTTGGAGGGAGCCTGTGGAGTAGTGGGTGTTGTGTTCGGGACGAAGGCTGGTTAGTACTGGGTGTTGCGTTGTAGACGGAGGGACTAGAGTAGAAGGTCCGAACTTAAGCCGACAAGCCTTTCATACAAACCCTCACAATTGAATACGAAATTCGCAGGAATCATCCATGAATTCAGATAGCAAGTGCACAGAAGGGAGTCAATGGTGCGTCTGGAGGGCTATCTATGTTAATAGACATGCGTATGTACACGCACATATGTATGGCCCATATATATATATATACATACACATACTGGTGTAAATACACAGTCCCGTTTTCTATTCACGGGCACCAGGGTCAAAGTGTGAGTAGTAGGGAAACAACGTCGGCTGGCAATCGAATCGTCATAACATGGAACTGCAGAAGACCGTATTCCTCCTCCCGTTCCTCCTCCTCCTCCTCCTCCTCTTCCTCTTCCTCTTCCTCCTCCTCCTCCTCCCTGTACCCCTGGCGGGTGTATGTCACATCCGCCATGCGTTTGACATGTTCCCCTCTGCGCACATGTGGCGTTGGTGCACCATTAAGTGGGGGCGCCGTGCCAAAGGCTGGCACATGGCTACTGCCTGTACACGTAACAAACGCACGTACACAGTACACCGCACAGGTCGCATCACAGATCGTGCGCCCGATAAGCTCCACCGCGCATATTATTGCATTCGACCGCTTACACCAAATAGCCACTGCATAAATACTGCACGCCGTAGAATGAATGGACCGCATATGTTGAACCTCAGCGATTGCGCCCCATAGATTTCACCCCATCGGTTGCTCCCATGTGTTGTTCAGGGTCGTCGCTGCGGGCCCAGGTGCGTCCGCTGTGGTTGCGGGGGGCTCGATACGTCAGTGCATGAGCAATGGCCACAGTGGTCACCGCGGCTGCAGCAAAGAAAACAACCCCTTCGCCGGCACGGCGGGCCTCCCCGCTCTCCCTCGCCCCCCTCCCGACTCGCAGCCCTGGCGTGCTCTTTGTGGACTGCGTGGCCGCCGGGGAGGCTAGGCATGTCGGCCGACGGTCCTGGCCGTGCCACGCAAGGGGGGGGGGGGGTCGCGCGCATCCGGGAGGTTTCTCTCCGCACCCGGGGGGGGGGGGCGACAGCCCGCGTGGGTGCCAGCGACAGGGCGCAGCCTTCTTCCCCTTCGCATCCCACCTCCTCCCTCCCAGGCCTCTCCCGTGGTGCGGCCTGGCGCCAGAATGTCGAGGCGAACCCAGCCTTGGCGACGACGGGCCCCCCGGAGGCCCGGAAAGGCCACAGACAAACCAGGGGTGGTGGTCTCGGCACGTGTTCCCCTTCTGACATCCCCCCCCCCGTCCCGTCGAATCCCCCCTCCTCGCTCCCTCCACAGCTCTGGCGCCGCCACAGTCCGTTCCTCCATCCAGGGACTACCCTTACGTCGGGCCGGATGTTGGGCGAAAAAGTAAGAATACTCAAAACATACTCCACAGATGCTCAAACATAGTCAAACAACTCGTCCCCAGACTATCTTTGGCCTAATTCTGAAAATTCCCCCTCGAGAGGGACAGGCCCGACTTAAGACTGCCCCTCGTCGCTCTGCGCCGCTCCGCCGTGGACCACCGCGCTGCGCCGCCACTGCTGGGCGCCAGCAGCCCAGCCCAGTGCCTGGAGCGACCAGCCCTTCGTCGCCCCCTCCGGCCCCCACCTT